GGACCCTACAAAGAAGTAGGTTTTGGATTCTTAAGGTACGGGTAGTGAGGACTACCCGCGGAAAATGGTCCAAAGCTCAGGCCACCAGGCACAGTGCCCTCTTCCCTTCGAGAATTCCTCTGGCTCCATGTGCCTAGACTTCTGTACTTGGGCCTTAGAGTGCATATATATATATATATATGTATTAGGCAACCCTTGTAAGGCCTAAGGCCTAAATATAGACTATCATATAGCTACATGACCCTCAGGGTTTTGGTCCTTGAGGATGAAGACTTTGTCCACGCTCTTTCCATGCTGGCACGCAGGGGAGCACTACCCAAAGTCCCAGTTCAGTGCTTTGACGCTCCCACCCGGAAGCATCCAGGAAGGGCGAACCGGGGTTTTGGGGTTTGGAGAATAATCTGTCTTCGGGTTGAGGGTTCCCTGTGCTGTGGTAGAGATTTCGCCTCTAATTCGGCTCAGTGTCCTCATGACCTAGTGATCCCCCAGCACTCTCACAACNNCCCCCCCCCCCCCCCCCCAAGTAAGAAGACGAAGTTCCACAGAGGCACGTTCAATAAACACGACCAACTCCCGAACTCCTGGCTCGATCAGTAGATTCACACTTCACAAGCACTGGAAAGGCAGGGCATCGAGAGCTTGTAGCTATAGATGTGTTGAATCATCATCTTCACTGCGGAAGCTGCGTCCTACCTGTTTGGGGATTTACGGAGTGGACCCGTGATGCAGCAAGCCGTCTGAACGACACATATCTCTTTTGTGGTATCATACATGGAAGGCCTAGGCCTAAGCAAACTAAAGTATCGCTCGGTTATGTTTGGGCTAGCATTCGGTCCTTGGCCTAGTCCTGAAAGGAACCTCCCTGTACCCTTACACCAGAGGGTAAAGGGAGGGTCTAGGTAGAGCTGAGGGTTTAAGTTGACCCTAACCCCCCAGGTACCTANNATATAGGGTACTAGAGGCCCTAGGGCCCTGAGTAATAGGCACCTGGAGGGTTTAAGTTGAAGTTGAGGGCTTAGTCCGCCTCGTTCACCTTCCTGGAATACTGGAAATCGTACGTCACATGGTGCTCATCCTGGTAGAAACACCATGGGTTCTGCTGTTCTTCGTGTCGCAAGATGTAGGAGTCGAGGGAAAACTCGGGGAAGTCTGGACAGAAAACACGAAACCACATAAGATCTGGCTCATGCCTTAAAGCTGAGAAGCCTACAGGGCCTACAGCGACGCAGCGTCAGGCTTCCGAACTATGTCTCACTCAGGCTTGAACTGCGCAATGCTAGCGATTTGAGGAGACATGGTTTCGGATGTAAGGGTGCGGGTCGAGTGGTGCATTGTGAGACTCACATATGAGCTCCTCCTTGTTGACACGATGGATTCGCCCATGCTGCCATTCGCCACCGTCCAGCTTGGCCCACACCGGCATGTCCTGCCTCGGTTGAGAACATAGCCAACCTAACTGATTGCCACATGTCTGTCTCGTTGCAAGCAGCCCAGTGAACTTGACTCCACAAGTGCCTACACTCCCGGTGCGTCCTAAGCCCCAGAAGCCAAAACTTTTCACCCTAAAACCCTAAAACCCTAAAGCCCTAAAACCCTAAACCCTTTTTGCATCCAGGACTCTTGCAAGCAGCCGTAAACCCTAAACCCTAAA